AATGTTCGAAAAGGGAAAACGAACTCATAATTCATTACACTCATGAGCAACGCTTCCGGGCATACAAACGAGATCTACACCAACTTTGGAATGAAACATATCGATCAACACCAATCATTCACACAAGACTAATCGTTGGTAACAGAAACAATAGAACGTTAGCATGAGAGTTAGTACATCATCGACACATTAAACATCAGCTGAAACAACCGTGACAACCATTCGACACATTGACTTCACGCCAAACATAAATTTCAAGCATCGTAGACTTTTCTGTACATCTATCTATCTATATATATAAAGAAGAAAGTTTGTCTGTCTGTCTGTCTGTTCGCTATGCATTCAGTCCCTGTAGTAGCTATCGGCGTGAAACTTTCCACAATGCTCCCTGAGACGCAGAGGAAGGTCGACATCTACTTTTCCCCGAGAAGAAAGGAACCAGCTGTTTGCTGCAGGCAATAGATGAAACGGACCAATAGGAATGCGAGATTTCCAAAATTGAGAAAATTAATAGCGAAGGCCGTCTGTGTGCTCAAAGACATCAATCCACGTGTTCTCTACGCCTATGGTAGTTCGGTGAATGCTACAGATAATCTGCGAAACTCACCAATAGCGTCAAAGAATCTCAAAAGATTAAGATAAATGATGAGGGTGGGCGAATTCGAAGGACATAAGGCATGAAATGACGTGAGAGTGAGAAAGAGGTTGATGAATGAATAGCTGGATTGGAAAAAGAATAACACAGAAAGAGGAAAGTTGCATACTTTCTGAGGCACAAATTAGCTTCGGTAACTTTTCATAAAAAGATATAGCCGAAACTGCCATTTTATGCGATGCACGGTGGGACAAATAAGGGCCGGAAGCGTAGAAATTTTAATTGTATTGATTTTCTATCTGTTATAACTCTTCAACACGTGAGATATTCGACATAGATATTTCTTATTTTCAGCGGGTACTCCCTCTAGTTATTTATAATAAACTACTCATTTCAGCATGAACTTTTACGCATATCCCAAACATTGATATACAAACCACATCTAGAATAAAACGTACATTCAGAACTTCGCCTATAACAAATTACACGACATTACATAGCATTTCTGACTATCCTACATACACACATCGCACAGAGACACTGACCATGTCAGATACAAAGTCGAAACTACCTGATGAGACTACTAAGCCTAGTCGAAACGCGTCGTAGAATGCTTGACTCACAATCATTGGCAATCACCATTACCAAATAATCTATTGTCCGTTTGGCGACTCGGAAAAGATGATTGTCACAAAGTCTAGTGATGAAAATGATGTGCATGCTCAGAAAATACTTGAACCCGCCATTGAATACTAAAGAAAGTCATAGCAATCAACGGCAATCAGCTCCCCCCCCCCCCCCCTTGGAGGATATACGTATGTCTAATGATATTTTCAGAGGCTGCAGTACTTGGATCACTATTTCTAGAATGTTGCATATTACATCAATTAAATTCTTCGACGTATAATTTTACGAATATTCTTCATGCAATAGATGAGCTGCTTTTTCTGCTAGACTGTATATTGTTTGCAAGGGTCCTGTTTTTGATGCAAAGCCTGCGGGAAACACTGATCCATCTACTACTCGAAGGTTGCTGATTCCATGCACTTTGAATCGGCTATTGACTACTGAATTTTGCGCGCTTTCTCCCATCGAGCACGTGCCAATGAAATGATTAGACGCTGTTAACGTGTTTCTGACATACATAGATAAGTCTATCTCTTCTGTTCCAGGTGAAATTTCAGTCGCTTGCATATGTTCGTTCATAGCATTTGTTGACATAACCTTTCGAACATAGTGTATACCATCTACGAAAGTTTTAATGTCATCTTCACTTTCTAAATAATTTAGATTTATTTTCGGCGGGACTAGCGGATTGGAATTGTATAATGAAACGGATCCGATTGTTGAGCTTGGAGAAGCATTAAATATAACTGCGTACAAATGCTTTGTTTTATCATTTCTGTGTAGTAAAAAGAATAGGTTAGGATTATAATTCGTCGTAGGTAATCGTGTATTAACTAGAGCGACTGGGGCAGATAGTCCAGTGTCTGATCCCGTAGTTAAATATTTAACAACTACTGCTCCATTATCCATTAAATTTTTTCCTACTTGTTTTAACTCATGTCTCACTGCTATTTTATTCTGCTTTAATACATGAGAATCGCCTATACCAGATAGCATCAAAAGATGAGGACTATAAAAGGCTCCAGCAGACAGAATATACTCTTTCCTCGCGACGGCGCTATGTAAGCCGTCGGAAGAGACGAATATAACTTGGTTTATCCGTTTTGTCTCCGCATTCAGATCGAATTTAATGACAGTAGCATCCAGTATTACTTTTAAGTTTGAGTATCTGGCGACAGCGGAAATTAGATAGGCGTCTCCGCTCCAGCTTCTCACATCATTTGTTAGCGAGGAAGCTTCAAATGAGAAGCCATAATCGATACTTCCTGCTAAGTCGTCACTAAATACTTCGCCGATTTCCTTGGCAACGTTCTTCCACACCTTGTTGAAAGCTGTGTCATGAGTCTTCGTTACTTTGATGGGTCCGCTATGACCGTGAATTTCAGATGCAAAAGATGGGTCAGTCGACGTAAAGGATTCCGACATTTTGTAGTATTTCGCCATGTGCTGATGATTGAACGATTCATCACTAGTTGCCTGAACAAAAGCGTTCCAGTCATTTGCCATCATCCGTTCCATTCCGCCATCATTAACACTACTTCCTCCCAGAGTATTCCAAACAGTCACATTGATTGTACGGTTATTCAGATTAGGACTAGGCTCTGGGACAAGGTAGTGCTTGAACTGAGGGGATTTGTATAATTGACTGTATGAAGACTTTAACTTCATAATTGGATTTTCTGTATCGTTTGAACCACTCGAAATAAGTATGGTCTCAAAGCCATATTCAGCTAATCGGGTGGCCACAACACATCCAGCTGAACCTCCACCTACCACTACAAAGTCCGCTGCGATTTCAAGTGTTTCAGATGTCATCGTTCTTTTTTTCGCATTATAATCTAAAGTGATAAGCTATACAAATTTCTATGAGGCTTTCATTTCGACTATATATGATCAAGAAAGAGCCCACGGGAAAAACAACCTATACCCGTATATCACAAACTTTTTGTTTCAAATGTGTGTCAGCCCATTCGATAGAACATGAAAAGTTATGCCTAGAAACAAATTTTTATCTCTTCTGATCAATCCTACCAAGAGTTACAGTGTAGTCTCTCAATCACCCAAGTTCGATTTTGTGAAAATTGGGGATTTTCGAGATTTCTATTGTATAACCGAAAAGTTCACAAAAGTATACTAAAGATCCTTATACTTTTACACCGAAAGATACGTCTTGACCGCGGCTACAAGACAGTACCGCAGCCAGGATTTTCAGACCAATGAGCAAGTCTTACTTACACCGAAAAAAGACGACCGGAAAAATGGGGCAGAAGTTTTATTGATGGGCTAACCAAATATTGATACCATACAAAAAAATCGAAAACGTAAAATGATGTTTCGTTTCAAGAGGGATACATCAAACCCAGATCATAAGTGCTACTCAGAGACATCATAATCGATTTGATCAGTGGCACATTTAAATCCTCACATTGCCAGGCCACCGAGGTTTTAGGAACCTCGCTCTACGGATACGAAGTTTTTTCTCCTCTGTTTCGATTGGATGTTTTAGAAACCTGCGAGAAATATAAAAACTTTTTTAAGAGAAGTTGAACATTTCCGAGATTTTTGGTTTTTCATTACGCATCGCCAGATCATCCATCAAATTTTGAATACGCTACTAATTTTCATATATCTATTTGTTGAAATTTATACTTCGAATTCAAATGTCGCTAACATTCTATTGAGAGCATGATGAAAATTTCACCACTACACATAATTTATCTATTTTTAACTAAAAATCAATCAAAATGAGATCATTTTATGCAGTTTTTAATCAAATTTCATGATTTTTAATTGATTTTAGTCGGTTTTTAGTCCATGAAATTGATTTTTGTTAGGTTTTAGCTATTACTTTTTGTTTTGTAAAAACTGTACGCAGAATTCATGTAAGAGAAATATATCTCTGAATAACTTACCG